GTGGGATCTCATTAAACTAAAAAGCTTCTGTACAGCAAAAGAAACAATCAAAAAAGTGAATAGAAAACTCATAGAATGGGAAGAAATCTTCACCAGCGACATATCTGACAGAGGTTTAATATCCAGAATATATAACGAACTCAAAAAACAGAGAACCAAGACAAGAAGCAACCCAATTAAAGGATGGGCTAAGGAGCTGAACAGAGAGGTATCAAAAGTTGAAGTAAAGATGGCTATGAAACATCTTTAAAGATGTTCAACATCACTAATAATTAGGGAAGTGCAAATTAAAACCACCTTAAGATTTCAGCTTATCCCCGTCAGACCAGCTAAGATCAAGAAAACAAATGATACCAAATGTTGGAGAGGATGTGAGGAATGGGCACCACTCATCCACTGCTGGTGGGGCTGCAATCTTGTTCAATCCCTATGGAAAGCAGTGTGGAGAACTCTCAAAAAACTACAAATGAACCTACTATTTGACCCAATTATACCACTCCTTGGCATATACCCAAAGAACTCATCCTATTGCAGAGACACTTGTACATCCATGTTTGTTGCTGCTCTAGTCACAATACCTAAGAGATGGAAGCAACCTAAGTGTCCCTCAATTGATGAGTTGATAATGAAAATGTGGTTCATTTATGCGATGGAGTTTTACTCAGCAGTAAAGAAAGATGAAATCAGGAAAAGTGCAGGTAAATGGATGGAACTAGAAACAGTTATGCTAAGTGATGTAACACAGACTCAGAAAAAAAATCGACAAATGTTCTCCCTCATATTTGGATCCTAGAACCAGACTCTGATAAATAAGTATGCAACCAGACATCCTTAACTCCTTACCAACATGCAGCTAAGGCCACCTGATGGGTGGGAGGGGTAAAGAGAAAGAAAGAACCTGAAAAAGAAGAACAGTAGGAAACAGGCCTTAATAAGGGAGATATGGATAAAAATTGGGTTAGTTTAAGGGAGCGGGGAGGGAAGGATATACAAAGAACCCAGGGAATAAAGGGAAAGAAGGAGCTCAAGAGAGATAGGACCATAGGAGAGGGTATTATTAAGGGAGAAAGGGGGGAAATGGGGGCACCTTAAGTGGGAAAACCATGATGGAGGGGTGAGACAAT